GGCCACAGGAGCAAGCCCTCTGTCAGTGCAGCTGGCACAGCGGGGCTTGTGGGGAGCCCAGGCCATGGCGGAGGCTCAGGCACCAGGAGGGAGACCCTGGCTGATCGCCGTGACGCCTACTTCAGCGTTCGCTCCGGAGGCTTTGTGTGCTGTGGCCAGTGGTGTCAGGAGGCAGGTGTCTGTAGGCTGCTCTCCCCAGTCGTCCTAGAATCTGCCCAGAATCTAGGGTGCATTTACGTGGTCCGCGTTCAGAACACGTCAAGATGAAAACTCAGGGAGAAACAGATGCTTAAAGCTCTAGGACTGGTGTCCAGGGATGTAGGCTGCTCTCTGCCTGCCCTGGGCCACTTGCAATTTGTGTGACTGTGGGAAAGTTACTATCCCTCTCCATGTCTCTTCATAAAATAGAGGTGAGCCCTGACCGGTTTGGCTTGATGGATAGAGTGTCGGCCTGCGGACTCAAGGGTCCCAGGTTCGGTTCCGGTCAAGGGCATGTACCTGGGTTGTGGGCACATCCCCAGTAGGGAGTGTGCAGGATGCAGCTGACCGATGTTTCTATCTCATCGATGTTTCTAACTCTCTATTCCTCTCCCTTCCTCTCTGTAAGAAATCAATAAAATATATTTTTAAAAAATAAAATAAAGTAAAATAAAATAGAGGTGACAACCCATGTCTTTTTAAAAATATATATATTTTATTGATTTTTTACAGAGAGGAAGGGAGAGGGATAGAGAGTTAGAAACATCGATGAGAGAGAAACATTGATCAGCTGCCTCCTGCACACTCCCTACTGGGTATGTGCCCGCAACCAAGGTACATGCCCTTGACCGGAATTGAACCTGGGACCCTTCAGTCCGCAGGCTGACGCTCTATCCACTGAGCCAAACCGGTGAGGGCAACACAACCCATGTCTTCCCTGGGTTGTTGTGAGGCTCAAATGAGGAAGGGTGCAGTGCTTCACTTAGCATAGTTTGGTGAAGGCTGACTTCCTGTGTGGGGTCCCAGCAGACAGAGCAAAAATGTAAGGCAAAAGACGCTGTGTGAGGGGCCTGAGGCAGAGCAAATCAACCCTCCACCCAAAAGTCCACAAGATGGCCCAGAAATTCAGCCATTTATTCTGCAACAGTCACTCAGCAACTACTGGCCTAACCATGCCGAGCTCCACAAACGGGACACAAAGACAAGTGAAGACACTGCCTTCAGGAAGCCCACAGACTTGTAAGAGGGACATCTATGCAGTGGGATAGTGTGACAGAGGGCGGGCTAGGGCCTGCGCAGTCCCTGCAGAGCCTCCTAATCCAGGTAGAGGAGGCCTGGGGGAGGGGGTCCTGGACTTAGTTGGAAAGGATGAGTAGATGAGCTGGTGAAGGTAGAAGGAGTCTAGGCAGAAGACTCGGCGTGTGCAAAAGTGCAGAACGGAGAGAAAGTGGGGAATATGTCATGGGATACGGGGGCTGGGGTTCCGGCTGGTGTCTGAAGGCAAAGATAGGAGGGCACTGATTTCACAGCAGGGCAGTGCAAAGACAACTGCTGCAAGGTTGGTGACTACATGGTGGCATGCTGCAAGGAGGTTTAAAACATGCAATACCTGACTACTGAGTCAGAAACACTGACCTCTTTCCCCTGAGATTGTCAGATAAAGAAATGACAACAGTCAACACAAAGTCATCTTGTGTGAATAAATCAAAATTATGCCTTTTTTGTCAGATCAGCAAAAAATGTATTTTTTTTTTTGGTGTGCTGCAGAACTTTCGTAATTAATTCATATGCCATGATGAAAAAGGTTGAAAATTGCTGGCCTAGCCTACAGGCTTATCATTTTGATTTCTCAGGAAGAATACACGTCTTCCAGTCACGTCAAGGCCCAGCTGCAGAAACCTATTCCTCCAGCCAGGCTGGCTCGCAGCTTCTCCTTGGACGCAGGTTGCTAGGCAATAGGCCCCGCCCCCACAGTGGTCTGGCCTCCATCGGCCCCGCCCACAGCCGCTGCTCGCACGCCCTCTCCTGGCGGCGCCATGCAGGTGCACGGGCGTCAGGGAATGCGGCCGGCTGCCTTCCGGGACATCCTCCTGGCTTACAGCCAAGCCTCCGCCATCTGCGATGAGCAGCGCTGAACCTGGCCACTGTCTGCCTGACCCCACCCCTGCAGAACCTGGGCTGGACCAGCGGTGAGGGAGAGGAGGCTGGAAAGGTGGGCGGGCATTGGTTTGAAGATGCTGGTCTTTACTCTGAGCAGTAGGAGCCATGAAAGGCATGTGAGCAAGGAAGTAACATGAGCAGATCTGTTCTTTCAATGCCAATTCTGCTGCTAGAGAACAGCCTGGAAGAGCAGGGCATTCAGGAGCATGGCTTGGATTGACTGGCAAGGCTATAGGGCGCAGGGGTCCACTGACCAGGGTAAGGGATCATGGTGAGAGCCCACAGGAAAGGACAGAACTTGGGGTTCTGTCCACCAGGGGGAAGGAAGGAAGCCAGGCCTCCGACCCTGCCCCACAGTTGGGTCTTTTCACCCCAGCAGGCACCTTCAGGGCTCCAGGAAAGATGCAGAGCGTCTCAAGGTTCATCAGATCCCAGGCCTATTGGAGAAGTGAGAGCCCCGTGGACATGGGCTCCTACAATAAGGCAACAGGACATTTTTCTCCCAGGCCACAGCTTCCCATCTCAAACCCCATGTGCTAACTAACATCCTGTTTTCTTGCATTGGTCAGACTTGATCAGAAACGGAAAAACAGCTTTATTGATGCAGCTTGGTTGAAAAAAAATCTTTCAAAACATGGACTCTAGAATAAAACAAAGTGCAATTAAAAAAAAAAAAAGCAAGGGCTGATCAACCCCACGTCAGGGGTCCAGTGAGGGCAGGGTGAGTGGGGCTAAATGGAACCAGAAGTCAGGTCTTCTCCTACCCTCCCAGAGCTTCTGTGGATTATGGCCCTGGGGGCAGGACCAGCATTTGGGTGGCTGACAGCTTCAGCCACTAAGCCAGGCTAATGCAAAATCACTGCACCATCCGGTTCAGACGGAAGCCAATGCCTGGCTTTGCCCTGCTGAAACTACTGTGTTTATAATGCAGTCACTGAAAAACTCCCATGGCTGTGCCTGCCCCAGTGCCTTTCAACAGAGCAGGCCCTGTCCTGGACCCCCAGCCACCACACTGATGAGGACAGCTTACTTCTCAGTGATCCTCCTGCTACTTGTCCTAGGAGGATGGTTGGGCACCCATGCTCACAGGCAAGACAGAAAGCAGGTCACCTGTTCCCCTGCATGCCAGCCTTTCCCGGGACGGAGAACGAGATGCTGCTCCTCACCCTGGAATCCTTCACTCCACATCCCTTTCCCTCTCTCTGCCCACCTAACAGGGAGTGCCTGTTTTCACCTAACTCATTCTCGCTCTTTAAAAAGGTGAGGTCCTGGCTGGCATGGCTCAGTGCTTAGAGGGTTGGCCTGTACAGCAAAGGGTCAAAGGTTCAATTCCCAGTCAAGGGCATGTACCTGGGTTGCAGGTTCGACCCACAAGTGCAGGAAGCAACCAATCAATGTGTCTCTATCACATTGATATTTCTCTCTCCCCCTTTCTCTTCCCCTCCCCCCTCCTTTCCACTCTCTCTAAAAATCAATGGAAAAAATATCCTTGGGTGAGGATTAAAGAATAAAAGGCAGATGAAGCCCTGACTTTTCCAGGCTTCCTCTGACCATCCCCAGCTCCTCTTCCTCTCTGTCCCAGTCCCAATGCCCCTGGACAGTATCTGTTTCTACTAGACTCCACGCTCATGGGCAGAGCTGCTGATTGTCAGGCTCTAAATCTAGTAGAGATGTCGGGTGATTTTTAAATGAAGGAACAAATGAAACCAGGGGAAGAGCCCCAAGATCCTAAAACAGCAGAATGGGACCAAGTTCTGTATTTTAAAACCATGTCCCGCTGCAGGGACCATGAAAGGAGCTGGGGAAGGGAAACGAAGTCATCTTTACATTTGATGTGTCTACATCAGATTTCCTTAAGAGGTTTCCATTTCTTAAAACAGCAACAACAACAACTGAAGTAGTCTGGCCCAAGTCACTTGATCACTGAAGGGAAGGGGAGAGGGCGAAGGGAAGGACTGGCCTAAGCAAGCACGTGGTAGGAGCAGGCCGACAGGCCACAAGCCCAGGCCCCGACTGCTCTACCCAACACTGCCTTCCACGTGGATTTAAAGAGAGAAGACACCTTCCACAGCATTTCCATTGCTCATTTTATTTCAACAGTCAACTGACCCCAGAGAAGAAGTGCTGACATCACAGGTACTTTGGAAGCACCACTCTATTCTGGGAACAAATAGCCTACTTTTTAAAGCTGGCAATCACTATAAAAACAGCAAGCAATAAAACGTTAACAAATTTTTTAAAACCAGAAAGATGCCTATAAATGGCTTAAACTTTATGGAGGGGAGGGGGGTGAAGTAGCCCAGGGGTCACAATGCTTGCTAGTAAAGGCCCCTGGAGAAGGGGCGAGGGGCATTGGAGACAGGGCAGCAGAGAAGGACACTCCAGAACCTGCTGTCAGTGCCCTGCCTGGCTGCTCGCACCAGCCCCTGGATGTGCTGGAAGCTTGATGTTTGTGCTGCCAGCCCCCGGGACCAGGCAGAGGCAGAAGGCTGAAATACATGGTGCCTCCTGTCCTGCAGTGGGGCCTGCGGAAATCAAAGAACGCTTCTGAGGGCGAGTCGCATAAAAGGTAGCACAGCCCAGAGATGGTTAAATTCATTCCTAAATGGGAGTTCCCATCAGCCCCCACTCCTCAGAGGCCCGGTCCTCCCCTGGTTAACATCATCCTCCACTCTCCTGTTCCAGCTCATATTTCAGGATTGAAACTTAGAAACCACCCTCTTTCCTCCTATCTTGAAATGGGAATTAACTCTATTTTATGTCTATCACTGTCCACCCTCCCTAACATCACTGAACACAGACAAGAAAATCATTGCTGTCACCCTCCCGATGCCCCATTTTGCTGGCCAGAGGCCCGGGGCCTAGTCGGACTGCTCCTGAGACGATGGCTGGCTGGGCTCACGAGGCATCCCTGCAACCTGGTCATCTGCAAAGAACAAAAAAGAGGGGATGCATTTGGAAGTAGGAAAAATTACCTATTTTCAGGTATAAGCTTTCTACAAGGCTTCTCATCATTCCCAGGCCCTAAGGAGAATTAATTTGCCTTGGATTTGCTAGGTGTCAGGAGGCTGGAATTCTAGTCCTCATATGATACAGGCTCAAGTTCTGCCTGCCACAGGCTGAGTGGCATGAAACAAGCCACCGGAAGCTCTGAACCAGTTCCTCCTCCTGTAAATGACACGATGCCTACCTTGCAACATCAGGTCAGCATGGGACCAGGGGGAACAATGAGAACTAATTTCCACTATTGGCGTCATCATTTCAGGTTCTGGTTAATCCTCAGAATAACCTCATGAGGTGGGGAGCATTACCAGTCCACTGGGACAGACACTGAAACTGAGGCACCAAGGAGTGGATTAGCTTGCCCAAGGCCACACAGCTGGTAAGTGCTGGAGCCAGGACTTATGCCCAGGCCAGCACCAGGGCCAGCAAGCTTCAAGCCACACTCATCTCTCCAGCTAACAGATGCAGGCGTCTCACACACAGCAGGTGTGCAACAGGCCTCAGTTTCCTCTTCGGTAAAATGAGAAGGACATCACCAGACTAACCTCAGGGGAAAATTAAAAGGAAAAAAAAATCCTTGAATGTATAAGTAACACAACCCAGAGATGGTTAAATTCATTCTGCAAAGGGCCCTAAAAAACAAATTCCTCAAAGCATTTTCACATCTAAAATTTCAGTTGACCTTCACAGTAATCCTGTGAAGGGGCCCATTTTACAGATGAAAAGACTGAGGCCTAGAGAAGGGTGTGTGAGTGACTAAGATCACCCAGTGCATCAGTGGCAGAGCTAAGAAGGATAGGGTCTCTCGCTCCTGGTCAGGTTCTCTCTCCAGAGTGGCCTGAGGAGAGGAATCATCCCTACCAGACGCACACTGGCTCCTGCTGCTGTGCCAGGCTCGGCATCTGTCGTTTCCCCAGCCAGAGAGGCCTGGCACCTCTGGTCTGAACACACCACACACACGCCTCCCTCCACATCTTTGCCCAGGGGCACTAATAGAGCCAGACACATAATTCTGTTGAAATCTGAGCTCTGCCATTTATATCTACAAGATCCCCTCTGGGCTCTATTGGTTTCCTCACCTCCTTGATGCCTGCCTATAGAATTTAGGGGAGGGGTGTAGGGAAAAAGCGTATTCCAGGCCCAGCACATTTTAATTCTGTTCTCAATCACCCCTCTCTCTACATCTGTTTTGATTAGACCCCTTCCTCCAGAAAGTCTTCCTGGCTCCCCCCCAACCGGAAGACTGGTGCTCTTACCCGCGGTCTCCTGGTCCGCATCAGACAGGACGGTCAGTGAGAAAGATGCTGGTGGCGGTGGCGGTGGTGGCGGCGGCGGTGGTGGAAGGAAATGGATCCCAGTGAGGAAGCCTGGTGGGAGGAACGGGGGCGGTGGTGACAGGGATGGCGGCAGCAGGGGTGGCGGCAGCAGTGGTGATGGTGGTGGTGGCAGAGGCTGAGGCGGCCGCGGGGGAAAGTTTGGCTGGAAGTTTTCCACTGGCTCCGGCACCTGCATGGCACACCGAGCAGAGAAGCCAAACAGGGGAGAGGGTTAGCCAGATGGGCTGATCAAACATGATGTTCTCTCGAATTGGGGGCTCCCATGGGCTGGACACAGGCACTTGAAATGGGTGCTCAGCAAAGAAATGACTGAAGGCAAGAAGGAACGCAGGCACACCTCAGATCAGCCTGGGGGACAGCCGTTCGGGCCTGACTGCGCCCTCTCTAAGCTGCTGAGCGGCTGAGGCAGAACTGGATCCGTCTGTCTGACCCTGCTCAGCGCTCGGCCAGGGTCCCAGTGCATCCCAGCCACCTGTGGTCCATTGTCGGGCAATGACTTAGACTCCAGAGCCAGGGCCTTCTCCTGGGTGGAGTGCAGCTGTGACTGAGTCAGAAAAGCTGGGTGACCTCAGGAAAAGGGGCTCCAGCCACCACCATTCTGTGCTTCTGTTGCTTCTTCCGAAGATGGAAGCCAACCCCCAAGGCAGGAAGGGAGGGATCTGGAGGGGGGATGACTACACAGCTCAGAGTGCATCTAAGACATGAATGTCATGAATAGTCATGAATGTCAGGTGCAGTTCCTATTATTTACTTCCATCCAGATACATCAGAGCAGCGCTTCACAAGCTGTGTTCCAGAGAACTTGGCGTCCTACACGATTATTCTAAGCTGCTTTTAAAGTGTTCGTTGTCAAGGGAGTTTAAGAAACTCCACATATTGACTCACCACAATGGTGAGTCCCATGTAAGCACATTAAAGCCTCGAGGCCGTCTGCAAAAGCCTTAGACTAACCAGCATGTCCTAACTTAATCTGACCACAGAGAAGAGAGGAAGCCTACTCTCAAGGACCTACTACGTGCCAGACCCCGTGCAGGCCCTTCACACACATCACACCCTCCTCTCCCGGTGGCCCCGCTGGCAGACGGAGCCGAGCGAGGTCCTCCGAGGCCAGAGCTGGTAAGAGAAGGACGAGGGGACCCAGGCCTGTCCAGCTCCAGGCCTGGGATCTTTTGTGGGAGGAGAACAAAAGCAGCAGCAGGTGGGACAGAGACAGAAACAAAAAGTGGGAGAGTCTTGGGGGGTCATCTCGGAGCCTGGGCAGGAGGAGCAGGACACGGTTCGAAGCAATTCATAGGCTCTTGGGTTTGAAACAGCTTTACAACTAAATGTTGGATCCGCAATCCAGACAGGAAAGGGTAGGAGGGGGATTATTGGCCCTTTAATTCCAAGCGACTTGGCCGTTTCTCCCTGGATCACAGCTCCTGCCTGGGGCCCGATAAACCGATGGAGATCACACCCTGACAATGGCCGTCTGGCAGGCCCGTCAGTCAGCGCTGCTCCGGACGCCAGGCTTCTGTGTGAGCAGACGGTGGGTGCGCGCTCCACTTGGCCAGAACCCCTCTTTGTGTGGAGGCTGGAGCGGCCATGCTGTCCCTGGGCTGCAAGGGGGTGGCCAGCACCCAGATTTCTGGCGGGGCAGGGCGGTGGGCGTTTTGTTTACCTCTGTCTGAGAGACAGGCTCAGGGTAGCAGAAAGTCCAGTGTGCATCCTGCTCTGTCGCTAACCTGCTGTGAATTGTGATCCCAGTGCCACACTCACTCCTTCTGTGACGGTGGACAAACCCATAACTTCCTCTTCCCTACAACGGAATTATACCCTGTGCTCTGAAGGCTCAAATGGAGGGGGAGGCACCCTAGAAATATCAAGACCAGTGGTTTCCAGACCTTTCCCCCTTGAATCAATGGAAAATGATCCTATATCAGTGATGGCGAACCTTTTGAGCTCGGTGTGTCAGCATTTTGAAAAACCCTAACTTAACTCTGGTGCCATGTCACATATAGAAATTTTTTTATATTTGCAACCATAGTAAAACAAAGGTGTGTGTGTATATATATATATATATATATATATATATATGAAATATATTTTATTGATTTTTTACAGAGAGGAAGGGAGAGGGAGAGTTAGAAAAATTGATGAGAGAGAAACATCGATCAGCTGTTTCCTGCACATCTCCTACTGGGGATGTGCCCGCAACCAAGGTACATGCCCTTGACCAGAATCGAACCTGGGACCTTTCAGTCCGCAGGCTGATGCTCTATACACTGAGCCAAACCAGTTAGGGCAAAGATTTATATTTTTGATACTTATTTTATATATTTAAATGCCATTTAACAAAGAAAAATCAACCAAAAAAATGAGTTTGTGTGTCACCTCTGACACGCATGTCATAGGTTCGCCATCACTGTCATATATAAAGCAGTAATATGCAAATTGACCGTCACATCCTCACACAAGATGGCTGCTCCATGTGGTCCCAAGATGGCCACGCCCATGTGGTCCCAAGTTGGCCACGCCCATGTGGTCCCAAGATGGCCACGCCCATGTGGTCCCAAGATGGCCGCCCCATGTGGTCCCAAGATGGCCACGCCCATGTGGTCCCAAGATGGCCACGCCCATGTGGTCCCAAGATGGCCACGCCCATGTGGTCCCAAGATGGCCGCCCCATGTGGTCCCAAGATGGCCGCCCCATGTGGTCCCAAGATGGCTGCCCCATGTGGTCCCAAGATGGCCACGCCCATGTGGTCCCAAGATGGCCGCCCCATGTGGTCCCAAGATGGCCACGCCATGTGGTCCCAAGATGGCCACGCCCATGTGGTCCCAAGATGGTTGCCCCCATGTGGTCCCAAGATGGCCACACCCATGTGGTCCCAAGATGGCCACCACAAGATGGCTGGCAAGGGAGGACTGTTGGGGGCGACCGGGCCTGCAGTGGAGGGCAGTTGGGGATGACCAGGCCGGCAGAGGAGTGGTTAGGGGCACTCAGGCAGGCAAGCGGTTGGCAGCCAGCAGTCCCGGATTGTGAAGGAATGTCTGACTGCCGCTTTAGGCGCTTACAGAGCACACCAGTTAGTAACTCACCACTGACCTCAAAAGGGATTACATCTCATTCCTTCTTTCAACACATAGATCCTCAGGGGATAGGTGTTTGGGGGAAGGTTTCCATATTTTTCATGACTAAGCTTAAATGCCACTTCCTCTTGAAAACCCTCTGCAGTCCCAAGTGGGCCATACCCTGGGCAGGGGCCCTACAGCTGCTCCTGGCTCTGCCCTCAACAGTATGGCACCAGGACAGTGGCATTGCCCTCCTGGTACCAGCAAAACGAAGAGCCCTGTGGCCCCAGCATTCCATGCGTCCAGGCTGGTGGTCACTTGGTATTTCCAGGTTTACCTCCGTGTCTGTGTTCCTTCTTGCCTGAGCTCCCAGAGCCGTTTGGCCTACAGCTCTGAAAAGCAAATGCCACAGCGCAGGCTGACCCGTCTACACATGATGAGACTCACCTACATGTGTGCACTCCCAGAGGCGAGCACGGTACAGGCCGAGGGGCCTGGCACAGAGTGGGCACACCAATGGCTTTCTGGGATTGAGCATATGTAAGAGCAGCAGAGCAGATGGGATACAGAGGAACCAGAAAGGAGTCAGGATGGGACTCACCGAGCCTCCTCCATGGTAGTGGCTGAAGGACACGTGCCGGAAGCCCTGCTGCACGGAGATGCCCAGGCCCGGGGATGGATCCTGGTAGCCCATCGGGAACGGGTGATAGTACATGCCGGAGCAGCTGGGATACAGCTTGGAAGGCTCTCTCTCCAGGTACTCAGACCGCACCATAGCATCCGAGTTGATGCTCAGAGAGAGCCCTGAAAGAGCAAGCAATGGGAGAAGTATTCAAAACACCAAGAGCGAGGGAACAAGCAACACATTACTGTCCAAAGACGGGGCAAACATTCAGGTCCTTTTACAAAGAGCTCCCACATCCACTATGCTTTTCACCCTCCCTGCTTTTTAAACCGTTCAGCCATTCCCACATTCTTAGAAAAAGTCCTCAGCACAGCCATGAAGCCCCAGGCGGCCGACCCTGCCTCCACTCCAGCCTCCTCCAGTGCGATGACCTGGCAGCTTCTTCTCTCTCATCCCCCTCAAAGCCCTTGCAGATGCTGTTCCCTCACCTTGGAGGGCTCTCCCTTCAGCCCACTTTGCCTCCTAGTCCTCAGTCCTCAGCATCTTCTCCTCCTAAGACCTCAGCTAAGCCGTTAACTGTTAGAGCTCTCTACACTGATGTGTGATTCTTTATTACTGCTGTTCCCCTCACAAGGACGAGATGCTTAGGGAAGGAATCTGACTCCCCCCCAACCTTTTGCCACTATGTCTGGCACAGTTAGGTGCTCAGCCCCTGTGCGTGGAGAGAGGAAGTAAGGAAGCATGTGCCAGTGGAAAGGTATTCTTCTCCTATAGGACTGCTGTTTCAGGTCTGTCCTCCTCATCTAGTTCCCTGGGGACCAGACTTTCCTAGAACATCCCAGGAGACAGAAATGGCCGTCGGGGAGCACCCAAGCCAATCTCCTTAGCCCATGGGTGGGAGACTGGCACACCATAGGGAAAACCAACAGGGGTCTGCACTTTAAGATGGCCGTTTTTTAAAAGCCTCAGACCTACATGTGACCTGAAGTTGTGCTTTAATAGCGAAAGCATAATTTACAATTGTTACATAAAGAACATTGTAACTTATACACACGGTGGGCAGGAGAAAAAATAGACAATATCTCAATGAACTATCTCCTCCTCCTCCATGGAGCAGAAAGGCTGTCGCACCCCCACCCACGTCCAGGGAAAAGGCACAAAATGAGGTGCGCAGGCGCATTGAGCCAGGGCTCCGATGTAGGGCGGGGCCTTCAGAAAGACCAGAAGCGTGCGCAGGTGCAGTCATAGTTTAGAAAGCCCATCCGTCTGCCGGAAGTCCTACCAGTGGAGCCTCCCGCCAAAGAAAAGAGCGGGAAAGGGCGCGCAGGCGGGTTGGAGGAAGGCACAGCGGAAGGGAGGTCTTCTGGGAAAAGCCTCCAGCTCCTGGAAATGGGGGGAAGTGCGCAGGCGCGGTCAGCATGGCGTTGGCCCACCCACAGAGACATTTTGTGGGGAGGTGCCTGCAGCCCAAGAAAAGAGCGGGAAGAGCTGCGCAAGCGCAGTAAGGCCAATGTCTCTACAAGACGCCCCAGCTAAGCGGACTGGAGGCCATTTTTTTTCTTGCAAGATGGAACGGCAAATAGTGTAGCTAAATGTTGAAAGCCATCTTTACCACCCACTCTTTTCTCTCTCTTTTACCTTTTTGCAAAAAGGCACCCAATCCAAACGCGTATGTGGAGAAAGGTTTCTAAAAGCAAATTTAACTCAGAAAGCATTTCCCCACTCCCCTCCAGGGACACGAACATGGGGCGCAGGGAGGCTGCCGCCCTGAGAGGAACCGATGGCACAAGAAGGTCACATGGGGCCTGGGGATCTTACCGAAGGCGAACGGCGGCGGCGGGGTTGCCGGCGGCGGCGGCCTGGGCATGGGCTGCAGAGGCCTGCTCGGCTCCAGGGGCCCGGGACCTCCCAGGCCAGCGGCCTCCGCCCCGAGCAGGGGCCTCACGAAGCTGGGCCTGACCACGGCAGCCCGGTCATTCGGGCCCATGTGGCCGTGGCCGCCCACGACTGGCTGGAAGGCACTCGGACCCGGGCTCGGGCCGCGCGGGGGTCTCTCCAGCAAGTAGGCGGCCGCGCGGCCCTCGGGGCCCGGCTCCAAGTCTCCCGAAGCGGCGAGCGGAGGCAGCGGGCGGAGGCTGGAGGCCGGGGCGATGGCCGCGGCCCTGGAGGCCAGCTCGCGGTCCTCGTCGGAGGCCTGCTTCTTGAGCATCTTCTGCGCGGCCATGATCTTCTGGCGTTCGGTGATGAGGTAGCACTTCTCGCAATTGCACTGCTTCCAGCGGCACTTGCCCGAGTGGCCCTTGACGGCCACCAGGTAGCCATGGTTGCGGCACCGCGAGCAGTTGGGGGTGCGCAGCATCGTGGCCAGCTTGGCGGGGTCTGCCTTCATAGCACAACCGCCGCCTCTGGGAGCTGCGGGGCGAGTGAGGCGGGAAGCCGCGGCCCCAGAAGTCCCCGGTGCTGGGGACACTGGATACACTTGTAGCAAAGCGGCCCTCGGCACGTCCCCGGAACTGCCGCAAGACCCTCGCACTTTACCAGATTTGGAGGGGGGCCCGATTTGGAGTTTCTCCGCCTTAGTTCGATGCAAGGGGGCAAATAAATTTTGCATGAAATGCTATGGCTTGTATGTCCTCTGGGTTATCTGAAGGTTTAGGCATTTAATGTTCCAAAGTCTCTGTTCTCTTCACTCCCAGACACGGGAGTCTGTGACGTCAGTAGCGCAGTGAGGTGCAGTGGTCCACGGATTTAAAGCTCCAGGAGCAAAGCTCTCAGCAAAGCCGTTCCAGCAGGAAAGCATTCTAGACGCAAGCCGTGTTCCTCCCCCCAACGCAGCTGCCCCCTCTGCACTTCATTTCTCTACCCTGCAGAGAAGCGGCCCTTCCCAGTGATGCTTCTAGAATATTCTCAAGCGCTCGGTGCAGTGTGATCGCTGCTCAAGGGCGCGTCCTGTTGGTAGTTCCCATCTAAGAGTCTTGTTGGTGTAGGGGTTCATTGCTATCCATGCGTCCCAAAGTAAAGCATCCTTAGAATGCTTTAAAGTAAAACAGACTCGGGGCATTTTAGCACGAGTTTGAATCATTGCTTAACGTTGCCATGAATTTGGTTATACCTGTAAAGCGACCCAAATCTTGGGACGTCGGAAAAGCTGGCGTGAATTTCATAGTTGCCCAGAATCGCTTCATTTTCTTGTTTGATAGACATTTGTGACACCTGCGGTCTTTGTCTTTTTTAGGTTCCCAGAAAGAAAAACAATGGGCCGCTCACACCTAAGTTGAAAGCTTATAATCATAGAATCAAACAAATTGAAGCAGGTGATTGTGGCTAACCCCTGACTAAAACGTGCCCTTGAAATTACCTTTCCCTGAAACTCTCTGGGGGCAGAAGGGCAGGAGCTGAGGCCTCTGTAGCAGCTGACTAGCCTGCCTCACCGCCGCCTGAGAATAGAAAACTGTGCCATTCTGAGGCCGGTTAGATACCGGGAGGCTTTTGTAAAGGAGTTTCTAAAGCCCTTTTTTCTGCTTTAAAGAAATATATTCCTATCTTATTAAGAGGGCAAGAGTATATCCTTCTGTATTTGGCCCTTCAGGAACTTTACTGCTAATTTTACATCCATTTAAAGAAATCTAGGTTTGTCTCTCCTTTGCTCTAATATCCTCTGTCTTAATTTTTTGTTGTTGTTAATCCTCACCCAAGGGTATTTTTTCCATTGATTTTTAGAGCGAGTGGAGTGGGGGGAGAGACAGAGCGAGAGAAACATCGATGTGAGAGAGACACATTGATTGGTTGCTTCTCGCATGTATCCCAACCTTGACAAGAGTCGAACCTGCAACCCTTCAATCCAAGGGCCAATACTCTAACCATTGAGCTAGACAGTCTAGGACTCTACCTTAATTTTTTATTTTAAAAACATGGTCCCATAGATAAAAGGACAAGCAAGCTTTTTTCTGACTCTACCCAATTCAAAATATCAATTTTTTTCACGATCCTGTCATTTGAAAATGGTACTTAAAAATCATAGTTTCAATACTACTGTCAAAAATCTGGAGCATTAGCTTCATTGTTTAATGATACTGCAAATTGTAAGGTCATTTTCTGCATTATCAAATTTCAATTTTTAACATCAGGTGACATCAGATTTGATAAGGCCTAAAAAAGAAAACCACTCATATATATTTTATGCCTGAGCACCCATGCTCTCTTCATTTTCCTATTAATGATTTAAAGTAAAATCCTAGTCGAAGCCAACTCTATGAATTAACATATTTTAGCCTTGTTAACTACAAAATGCTTCCACATTTATTTTATAGCTTAGGGGTAAAATATACCCAAGGTGATGTGAGTTTGCATAGTGCTTTGAGAATATTAATAAACAACCATATATCTTTTAAATCAGTAGTCACATTGTAAGATGTAGAAACCCCAGAGTTTATACAGTAAATAAATCTAAGAAGAAAAAAAGACTAGTTTATTTCTCTTCCTTGCCAAAGTCTCAATTTGTGTAGGTAAATTCCAACAGAGCTTTATTTATTTCACTCTTGGAAATTCAGACAAATTGATAGTTTTGTTTTATTTAGCTTGAGGACTGATGACTTCTTAGGCTGCTGCTTTTCTAATATATGCATTTCTTTAAATTGTTCCTTAAAAAAAATGGTAACAGATGGCAATGACATAAACATGAAAAACGAAGTTAAAAGGATGGGACCAATAAGTACACAACATTCCCCTTCCTTTCCTACACCTTAACCTTAGGAAATTTATGTTTAGGAAAGTCTGCATTGTCATAAGCAATGGTTTATAAAATAATAAGTTATAGTTGCCGAGGAATCAGCAATTAGACTAATTAACCATGAAGGGCCGGTTGGTGGTCATATCTGACTCACAGCTTCAGTAATGTCCCCTTTTCCCTCAGAGTCCCAAGTTTTCTACCTTGAATAATGTCTCTTCTCTTTAGTTAATATGGTTGCTATTGGTAATGTTTAATTCTTATTCATTGTAAAGAGCCCTATATTATGCAAGGCATGCGGTATTATTTATAATCATTAAATATTGTATGCACTGTAATATTTCCTTACTAGTAGCACACAAGAGTAAGGAAGGCCTTTTTTGCTGATAGCATCTTTCCCCCAGCAGCTATAACCCAGATATCTGCTATCTTCCCCTTCTTCAGGCTCTCTCGAGTGAGCAATGAAAAGTTTAGTGAAGATTTTGTAGGGAATGGAGGGGAGTATTTATATGACACATCCTATACCCGATTCTTTAAAATCCTGCCGTAGCATGTCTGTTCTCTCAAGATCCCCTCCTGCTGTGCTACACCCGCTGGAGAAACTGTCTGCCCTCCCTTTTCTCCCCCACCCCTCGTATCCAGCCTCTCTAGCTTTCCTTTCTACATTTTTTGAGAGCTCTGTAACAGCTGTGACTATCTTATTTTCCTTTATGTCTAGCACAAAATAGACATTCAGTAAATATTTGTTGAATGTATAAATGAATCTTGCCTCCCTCTCCTGCCAATGTCAAAGTTATAATTGGCACAGTAAATCAACTTGGCTTCAGCAATTTTCACCAAACATTATACAAACAGAAAGCCCAAAGTGAATAGGACCACTCTCATGAGAAGCAGAATTTGGGGATTAACTTTGGTTCCTTGAATTCACCCCTATCCATAATCTATATATATAAAAGCCAGCAACCATAACGACCGTAACAACTAACCACCGGTACCTATGATGCCCACTGTGGCCAGCGAACCAGCCTGATGATGGGCTGGGGCCAGCCCGCCAACCTCGCGGCCCTCTCCCCCCTGCTGGCCCACCCCTGATAGGACTCTCCCACCCCATCAAGGGCGGGTCCAGTCAGCCAAACACCCCCTACTTCTCCCCCACCAGCTCTGCCCCCAATTGGCCCGCCCCACCACGATAGGCCAGCAGCCCCTCCCCCTGGCTAGCCCCTCCCCCCCAGCTGGCCCCTCCCCCCAGCCAGCCCCACCCCTGATCGCCCCCCCCACCCAAATAGGGGGGCAGGGATGTCTGGACAACCTCCTGCAGCCCCTCCCCCCAGCCGGCCCCACCCCTGATGGGCCCCCACCACCCTGATCAGCCTGCAGCCCCTCCCCTCAGCTGGTCCCACCTCTGATTGCCCCCCCCCCACCTCAATAAGGGGCGTGGCCGGCCAACCTCCTGAAGCCTCTCCCCCTACCCGGCCCCACCCAGATCAGCCCCCCAACCCTGATCAGGGGCAGGCCGGCTGGCCAACCACCCACAGCCCCTCCCCATGGCCAGCCCCACCCTCAATTGGCCCCCCAACCCCAATCAGGGGCGGGGCCCGCTGGCCAATCGCCCATGGCCCCTTCCCCCAGCTGACCAGCCCTGATCAGGCCCTGATCAGGGCCCGCCAGCCAGCCAGCCAACCTCCCACCATTTCCTCCTCCCAACAGGCCCAGCCCTGACCCGCCTTGATTGGGGCTGGGCCGGCCAGACCCCACCTGTGCACGAATTCATTCACTGGGCCTCTAGTGCAGCAGTTCTCAACCTGTGGGTCGCGACCCCTTTGGCAGTCGAATGACCTTTTCACAGGGGTCGCCTAAGACCATCCTGCATATCAGATATTTACATTACGATTCATAACAGTAGCAACATTACAGTTATGAAGTAGCAATGAAAATAATTCTATGGTTGGGTCACAACATGAGGAACTGTATTTAAAGGGCCAGAAGGTTGAGAACCACTGCTCTAGTGGTTTAATAATACTAATAACTAGCACTAAGTGTCTACATGTGCCAGTAATTCTTAAGTCCTTTATGTGTCTGAATGCATCTAATTCTCACAACAACTCTCTAAGGTAAGTGCTATTATTTTCACCCTCATTTTATACATGAAGAAACTGAGGCCTAGGGAAGTTAAGTAACTTGCCCAAAGTTTTATAGCTATTAAATGGCAGAGCCATGAATCAAAAACAGGAAATTGGTCCTCAGAGTCCATGTTCTTAACCATATATCTGCTAACTCAACATTTCTTTTAAACAAACACAGTGCTCTCCTCAAGAAAAGTTTGGTGATGAATAGAAATGTTTGTCTTATTACATATCCTGTCACAGTTGAGGCAAAAGGGGGTGAAGGTGGTAGCAACCTGGGGAAACTTCCTAGGACACCCAGCTTAGTTGTTTTCCTCCACCAACAGCCAATATTTATTAAGTACCAACTATGTGCTAAACATAACTGGCACAGAAGGAAATAAAAAGACGGGATCCTTGCTTTTAGGCATATTTTCTATCTGGCAAACCATACAATAAACAATTCCAAACGAAGAGGGAGTGGTAGGGGTGAAGAAGGGGGCAGGATACTATGGGAACCCATATGAGGGTCCTAACCTAGATCAAGAAATCAAGGAAGAC